CCTTCCACTCTGGATTCTCCCCTTCCATGCGGGCCCAGGCTCCTTGTGGGACTGCGGCTGCCTCTGCTTTTCCTCCCACCTGCTCGTCGCATTCCTCCGCTCCAGTTGCTCCTGATACACCCGCTTCTACCCCCACCTGCTCGTCCCGTTCCTCCGCTCCAGTTGCTGCTGATACACCCGCTTCTGCCCCCACCTGCTCGTCCCGTTCCTCCGCGCCAGTTGCTGCTGATACACCCGCTTCTACCCCCACCTGCTCGTCCCTCTCTTCCGCTTTTGCTACTGCTGATGTGCACACCTGTGCCCCCACCTTCCCGTCCTTCTCTTCAACTTTTGCTACTGCTGATGTGCACGCCTGTGCCCCCACCTTCTCGTTCTCCCCTTCCGCTTCTGCCGCTGCTGGTACGCACGCCTGTGCTCTCACCTTCTCACACCTCCCTTCTGCTTCTGCTACTTCTGGTGTGTACGCCTGTGCCCCTTGTTTCTTCCCTGGTGATAGAGTTAGTTCAGTCGGAGCATGAGTGCTTGCCATCCACTCAAGTTCCCCCGTTCCTGCCGTCATCACAACTATCCCCTTTGCTATCTGCTTCTCTGGTGCCATCAGCCCCTGTTCTTCTGCCATGACCTTCCCTAACATCCTGCTCCGTGCTCCAGTGTCTGTGATCACCGTCTTGATCTTCTCCAACTCCATTGCCGTCGCCTCATTTCTCACCATCAGTTCTGAGGTCTGGCTTACCCGCCCGTCCCGCGAGTGGCGAGGTACAACGTCCCTTGGTGTCGTCTCCTCTGCCTGCTGCCCCTTCTCTCCTCCCTTTTGTCGGTGCTCCTGGAGGTCGTCCTTCCCTCCACTCCGTAGTCCCATCTCTTCCCTTCCCTTCCATGCCACGTACGCGCGCTGCACCTCTTGCTCTACTTCCCTGTCATCCTCATCCCTGGCGCTCGTTCCTGCCTCTGCTTCCCGCCTTTGTCTGAGTGCCTGCAGCTGTGCTTGTAGCATGCTGAGCTCATGTTCCAGCTCTTCCGGGTTCCCCTTTGCTGTCCCCTCCCGCTGGTAGCAGTCCTTCGCTTCACGTCCCTTCTTGCTGGAAATTTCACACCACGATGCATCTGGGCACTCTCTCCTCAAGTACCCTGGCTTCCCACAGCGATCACAGTTCTTGCAATCTCTCCTAACGTGCCCCGACTGTCCGCATCTGTAGCAGGTCCTGTTGTCTGCCCTACCATCCCCTCGTCCCTCTGACCTTCCCTGATCTTCATATACCATTGCTGCTGCCCTTATCGGCCCACGGCTCCTCTCTGTCGTTTGTGGCCGGTACGCTTCAAACTTCCTCTGCGCAAACTCTATTTTCTCTGCCAACTCGAAGACTTCATCCAACGTTGTGTCTGCCCCCATTTCGTACACCCTCATCCGCAATCCGCTTCCCATGGTGATGTCGAGTCCATCCAGGAACTTTCTAACAAGAAGGCCCATGTCTGCACATGTTACATCCTCCGCCAGGTTGATCAGCCGGTTGTAGTAGGTAAGCAACGACTCGCTCCACCCCTTCCTGAAATTCTGAAATTCTCTTATCTTCTCCGCGGTGTGCCCTGGAAACTGCCGCTGTAACTGCTTCAGAAATGCTTCCGTGGGGTCTTCCCCGTACCTTCCTGCCCTCTCTAGCAACTCATCCATCTTCATTCTGTACAGCGTTTCCGCCTCCCCTTCCAGTGTGTTCGGCAGACTCAGAAAAAAATACACCGAGTCCATACCACTCCTCTCGCACCTGTATCTCACATTCCCTACTTGCATTAAGTAGTTTTTGAGTGAGGGCCCTGTGCGCTGATCTCCCGCGAATCGCGCCGGCACATCCACTTGCTCAAACATCGCCGTGCTCCCCCGACCGTCTCCCCATGATTTACTCAGTCCTCTCGCCTGCCTTCCTGATGACTCCCTCTCCCTTGCCCTCTTGATTCTTTCCCTTGCCACTCTGGCGCGCTCCGTGCTGTATGCCAGCCCGCCGCCTCCCCCTTCGCGTCCGCGCTGGTCCTGTCCCACCTCCCTTCGCATGTCCTCCGCACTCATCCGTGCTCCTGCTCGCCCCGACTGCCTCTCTGGCGAGTAATGCGCCCTCGCCCAGCCTTCTCTATGCGTTCCTCGCTGCCAGTGCCTCTCGGGCGAAGGGGATCTCTCGTCCCTTCTCCCTCCGTACCCGCGGCGACTGTCTTGCAGATGCCACTCCTCCTCCCATCTCCCTCCCTGCTTGCGCTGCAGACCTGGTGAACGTGTCTCACCCCTTGCCCTTCCCGCGTAGTGCCGCCACGGATCAGGTGAGCCAGACCCGCCAGTCTGTCGTCTATCATGTTGCCCATGCCGATCAGGCGAGCGCGACCCGCCCCCCTGCCTCCCATCATGGTGCTGACGCACCTCAGGCGAGCGCGACCCTCCGTTCCGCCCTCCTCCGCGCTGCCAACGCGGATCAGGTGAGAACTCGTCCTCGCGCACTTCCTGTTGCTCCTCCGCCCGCTCCCGCTGCTGCTCTGATGAGTGATTCACCTTCTCACGCCTCTCCTGCTTCCTGCGTCGGCGCCGCTCCAGATTATACCCATATTCCTCCTCTTCACTATACTCATGTTCCTTCGCTTCACACAGCTCCTCATCACTCCTTTTCGTCTTCTCCCTCCCTTCCTTACCCTCAGGGGAATCTTCTTGACACCGCCTCCCTCGTCCGCCTGCTCCTCGGCGCCCATGATATTCTCTTACCCTTCCCTTGGTACTTCCCGAGTCCTTCCTTGGGGACACATCTCGCTGGCAGCGCTCTTCCTCATCCCTCCTCCTGTGTGTCTCTCTCTCTCTTGTCTCCCCCTTGCCTCTCCGTCAGGCTCCAGCACCAACCCTGCTCCTGCGCACGGGTACTCTTTCATTCCTTTACGGCGTGCTCTCGCATCCGCCCCCGCGATGTACTGCGACAAACACTCACTCCCCTTAACACGCGCTTCCCCCTCCTCCTGCCGCTGCCGTGCGGGCGAGCGCTGCGCGTGCCCCCTACCGCGGTCGTTCCCCCTTTCCTCTCGCCGCAGCTCTGGTGATCGCCCTCCACCCAACGCCAGGCGCCTCCTGCGCTCGTGTCCGCGTCTTGGTTCAGGCGAGCCATACATACCCGCCTGCGCGTCTCGCCTCCTCATTTCCTCACGGCTGGCTTCTGGCGCGCGCTTAGCCTCCTTGTCTTCGCCGCGCCTTGCGTTACTTCCGCGCATCCTGCCTGGCGAGCGATTTGCATCCGTGCTCCCCCGGCGCCCCGCGCCGTTCTCAAGCATTTCGCCCACCGACCCGTCTGCATCCGCGCTACCGCGGCGCCTCGCGCCATCCCTGCGCATTTCGCCCGTCGAATCGTCTGAATCCGCGCTCCCGCGGCGCCTTACGCTGCCGTCACCCATTTCGTCCGCCGCGCGACCTGAATCCGCGCTTCCATGGCGCCTTACGCTGCCGTCACCCATTTCGTCCGCCACACGACCTGAATCCGCGCTTCCCTGGCGCCTTACGCTGCCGTCACCCATTTCGTCCGCCGCGCGACCTGAATCCGCGCTCCCCTGGCGCCTTACGCTGCCGTCACCCATTTCGTCCGCCGCGCGACCTGAATCCGCGCTTCCCTGGCGCCTTACGCTGCCGTCACCCATTTCGTCCGCCGCGCGACCTGAATCCGTGCTTCCCTGGCGCCTTACGCTGCCGTCACCCATTTCGTCCGCCGCGCGACCTGAATCCGCGCTTCCCTGGCGCCTTACGCTGCCGTCACCCATTTCGTCCGCCGCGCGACGCGACCTGAATCCGCGCTTCCCTGGCGCCTTACGCTGCCGTCACCCATTTCGTCCGCCGCGCGACCTGAATCCGCGCTTCCATGGCGCCTTACGCTGCCGTCACCCATTTCGTCCGCCGCGCGACCTGAATCCGCACTCCCCTGGCGCCTTACGCTGCCGTCACCCATTTCGTCCGCCGCGCGACCTGCATCCGCGCTTCCGCGGCGCCTTGCGCTGCCTCCGCGCATCCCTTCCGGCGAGCCACTAGCTCCCGCGTCCTTGCTCCCGTCGTCGCGCTCTTCTTCCGCGCCTTTTTCCTCTTCACCATCCCGCACCATCGGGATCTCGTGTGTTTCTTCCTCGCCGTTGGCCTCGTTTGCCGAATCCGACGAGTCCATCACGTCCGCGTCGTCGCGACGCCTTACACCCTCTCCTTGCTGGCCGCGTGCCAGATTCCAAGGGTCACCGCTGGACGGTTGAGGCCTGGGCTCCGATCCCGTGTGCAGATCGTCCTCGCCTCCATCTCGACGCCCTTCAACGTGCAGATCTGCGTGGTCCGCTGCCCTCCTTGGCGACCACTCCCGCGATCTTCCTCGCTCCTGCAAGCGCGTCCTCCGCGACGGCGGCGTTTCCCGACGCGAGTACATCTGCTGCCAGCGCAGCTCGTGGCAGTCCATACTGCCCAAACGTTCTCTCGGCTTTTCTCCTGTTATGAAAGAGTTTCCTCCCTCACCCCGTAGGCCCTCCCATAGTGGAGTGCCACCGGATGCTAGATCTGAGGTAACAGCTTTCCACTAATATGAGAGAATAACAGGAGAAAAGCAACGAGAGGGTGTTTGGTACTGAATTTACCTGAACCTGGCTCAGTCGCACACTTCTCGATGTGCGCCTCGAGCCAGGCCCAGTTGCTTCAGATTGGCTCGTTAGATTCCCACCCCTCGATGTTTCCTCTAACCCTTCCCAACAACTTCGCCTCAATCCCCCATACTCCCCAGCAACTCACCCACAAATTGTAATCATACAAAGACTACACCTGAACCTACACTTGCATCTACACCCGCGCACCAACTGTTATCGCATATGCACGAAGTGCATATTCGGTGACAAACCATCTCCACCCTCTTCTCCCCTGCTTCCTCGTTTCCCCGTGCACTTCTCTGCCTCACAACAGTCCCCACTTCCAAGCACTTCAAGTGAAATCCGCAGCATATTCACGTGCAAGGTTCCGAACCCTAAGGCCCCTCCCCCTCCTCCTCCACCTTCCCAATTCCAACCTGAACTTGCTAGCGAGGTCCGGGCAGTGCGCATGGCCGCATAGGCTCAGCCGGAGGGTCGGTAGGGGCAGGAAGGGAAGGTTCGGGGAGGAGAGGAGTGAGGAGGAGGAGGAAGAAGAGAGCTCTAGAGCAAGAGTGGAGGAGCATTGCTGCTGCAGCAGGGCTGCTCACATGTGGATGAGACGCAGGCGTGGAGAGTGGGGTTCCATGTCGTGCGTGCTGGTGGTTGTAGCAGGTGTGGGTGCAGGTATGGCGTTGGGATGGTTAGTGCTGCTGGGTGCACAGACTCCACTCCAATTCCTTGCTTCATTCTTCTCGCCACCCTGATTGATCCTCTCCCTGCCTCTGCTGCTACCGTTAGCACCAGTAGCACCAGTAGCAGCAGCGGGAGCAGCAGCAGCACCACCACCACCACCACTACCATCACAATCAGCAAGAACAGCAGTCGTTCCTGTCGTGACTGCACCTGTCACTCGCTCATGGTCAGTGCCCGTAGTGCGAGCAGCAGCAGCAGCAGCAGCAGCAGCAGCAGCATGATCCACTGCCGCAGCAGCACCTTTCCCACGTCGCTTTTTACTAGCCTCTGCCTCTGGCTCTGCCACCTGCCTAGATTTGCCTTGCTTGCCTTTCTCCTTGGCCTTCCGCTTTCTGTCACCTGCACCCACACTGCCTCTCGCCCCTTGCCCCTTCCCTCTCTCCACTGACAAATGCGTCTTTCCACCTGCCCCTCTTTCTACTGCTCTCTCTGCGATCTCTGCTGTCTCCGATACTGCTGCCGGCATAACAGCTTCTGCTGCTGCCTTGTCTCCGCCTCCGCCTCCCTTTCCTGCTGCTGCTGGGGACAGAGAGCAAGCAGCCTGGTTCTGCCCGGGCTGAGAGCCCCTAATCGTCCCAGCAGCACCACCGCGAGGTTTTACGGCCCGGGCAGGAGGCAGAGGAGAAAATTCACGGGCAGGGGAGGGAAGAGACGAGTGCGGCCGCACGGGCTGTGTGTAGGGAGGCTGAGGGGAGGAGGGCGTGGATGGATGGAGGGCTCTGGAGGGCTGTGCGGGAGGGGTGGCGTGGGTGGCAGCAGCAGCAGGGGAGGAGGCGGGGAGAGGGAGTGAGGGAGTGCGAGGAGGAGGCATGGTGTTGGAAGGAGGGGATGGAGATGGGTGCGTTGCCTTGCTGGTTGATGCACGGGTGGGTGTGAGGGACTGGCTGAGAGGGCGTGTGGCTGTGGTGCCCTTGGGTTCCTGGAAGGTGTTGTGAAGGGGGATGGTGGACAGAGTGGGGGGAGTAGGGAGGAAAGAAGAGAGGAGACGGAGAGTGAGGATGGACAGAGAGTAAGAGTGCTTGGGCGAAGAAGGAAACGATTGGTTGAAGGATGAAAGGGAGGGGACAGGAGAGGAGAGGAGAGGACAGGAGAAGTGAGGAGAGAAGCGGAGAGGAGATGTTGGAGGTGGTGGAAGAGGCAAGCATGCCGAAACAAACAACATCCTTGTCATGTATCCGTTGCTTGCCTCACCTGCGTGCCGAAGCAGACTCGCTTAGACGCCCGTTCACATGTCTTCAACTGCCTCCCTGCACCCATGGCCGACCGCCTTACAGCAGCACCACAACCGCCATCTCCATCGCCATCACCACGGCCAGCACCAAAAGCAGCAACACCAGCAGCAACAGCAGCAGCAGCAGCAGCAGCAGCAGCAGCAGCAGCAGCAGCAGCAGTGGGGGTCCTATCAGCTCCTTGTGTCACTGCTCGTGCCCCATCGTCAGCCCCCTGCCTCCCCTCCCCTTCGCCCCCTTCCCCTCCTGCGCCACTCCCCTCGCGCCCCTCCAGTCCATCCCCTCCTCCTGTCCGGACACACTCTCGTCCCCCTCTCCCCGCTCCTCTTCGCTCACTTGATAGACCCTGCCCTTCCACTCTCACATCCCCCTCCCCACCTTTCTCCCCTGCTCCACTCTTTGCCCCACCTTTCCTCCCTCCACCATCCTTTTCCGCGTGCGGATTACCCTGGCGGCCCTTCCACCGCTCTCCACTCCCCAGTAATCTAGTTCTCGCCGCCCCTGCTGTCTCCGCAACCCCCACCTGCCAGCCGCTGTGGTGTCTGTCGTTGCCACGTGTGGGAGGAGGGACGTTGGAGCGCGAAGGAGCATTAGAGTGCTGAAGAGCGTTGGAGTGATGCATGCCCTCATGAAGCTGGCAAGGGGAAAAGCAGCAGAGGAAGGAAGGTAGGTTAGTGCTGCTGCTGCTGCTGCTGCTGCTGCTGCTGCATGACTCATCAAGCAGCAGCAAAGATGGGCCCAGCACACCCCCCCAGCAAACAGCGCAGCCAAGGAGCCCTAAGGAGTGTGGGCTGAGCTGAGCGGCAACACAGACAAGAAAACGCCTTGCACACAGGACCTCATGACTGAGCAACACACACACACACACACACACACACACACACACACACACACACACACACACACACACACACACACACACAGAGCACGAATTCGCAAGGAACATCACCACCATGAGAGTTTGCATTGCAACAGAAAAGCAAAGAGAGGGGAGAGAAGGGGGGGGGGGTTGCATGAGAGTTTGCATTGCAACAGAAGAGCGAGTATCCTAAGGACGTTCGAACTGGGAGGGGAGAAGGGGGAGGGAGAGGAGTGGCGGACCTTTGAGGAGAGGGCACGGTAGGATGAGGTGAGGAGGAGCAGGTAGGAGCGACGACTCCAGTTGGTGGCATGCACGCGTGACAGCTGATGGTAGGCATGTGGTGGGTATAGCGTATAGGCATACACACGGAGGTGTATGGATACGGAAATGGAAGGAAACGGAAGGAAGGAGAAGCAGATGTGCTTGGATACACACACAAGCATCTAGGATCCAAAAAGGGAAAAAGTGTGTGAGACAAACTGTTTATCAAAGAGGACACAGCACCACACAGTACCACCCAGTACCACGGCAAGGGGAAGCTCTTGCGCCGGCCAAACCCCAAGGAGATCGCGCCAGCTGTCCCACGGTGATTGGTGCTCTCCCACCCAGGCGCTGCTCGATGCTCCCACAGGCCACACATGTGCACGCGGTGCTGCCACAGCTGCTGCTGCAGCAGCATGTGAAGGAGCAGCAGCGGCAGTGCAAGCAGGGGCAGCAGAGGCAGTGCAATCACCACCATTATTCACATTACTGGCATCAATGATACTCTTCGATCCAGCAGCGCCAGCAGGAGCAGCAGCAGCAGCAACAACAGCAGCAGAAGCAGTAGCGGAGGCGGCAGATGGGCTTGTGGGGTGCCAGAAGGGGTGCAGCAGAGCAATGCTGCAGCGACCACAGCTCATGCCCGCTGTTACCATGCCTTGCTCTGCTGCTCCTTCTCCCTCTCCTCCCTCTCCTCCCTCGCATCTCTCACCCCCATGTCTGCACCCATCACTACGCTGCTGCGTGCTGCCCCCAACTGTGTGCGGAGAACTGACGATCCGCCTATTGCGCGTGCGGGCAGAATCGTGCAATAGGCGGATCGCGGCAGGAGGACGGCGTGACGGCTGTGCCGCGGAAAGCCATGACCTCTGGTGGGTGAGTGAGCTCAGCTGAGGGTATGGAGAGAGAGGAGAATTGTCACGAAAACGCTTCGGCCAAAACAGTTGGGGCTGTGGATGGGGGAAGTCGGTCGAAGAGCCGTCCTCGTTATTGACAGAATTGATTGCTGAGGCTGGGTTCACAAGCGTCAACGAGGAAAGACTAATTACCTTAACATTACTTCACTTGAAAAAGGTATGGTGCTGCTGCTATATTAAGTCTTGAGGCACTTACACATTCAACTCCACATTACACATTCCAGAACATGCCATCTCAGTGTTTTGAGTGCATACGACTCATTATCACAACTAATATCCACCTAAATTTTCACTGTGTGATGCCAATGCCAGCTTTTCTGTGGGCTAACACCCACTCGGTATACCCCCATCCCACGATATAGCTCATGTGCATACGGTAGCTCTCAAATTGAAAGCCACTTGAGCCTGCTAAGTTGACATACTACATTGATACCACCACCATCATCTATAGTCCACTACACTTCCGAAAACAGTTCCCAGTTTCATGCCATTTTTATGCGGTACACAATAAATCTAAGGTGTAGGCAACGAAACATGGAACTTTGCAACAGCAGCAGGGAATGCACCTACGGCTTCCATGCCATCACAAGAGGCCAGTTACATGATCCATCTCTGCATCCAAACTCGAGCTGACTTTTGAGTCGACTCAAAGCCAGCTCAGCTACTTCCACGCCATCACAAGTGGCTAGCTACACGATCGATCTCTGCATCTAAACTCGGAGCAGACAAGCTCTGCAACTCCATTTCCTGATCCACCTGATGGGCGGCGGAGTTGATGCGTTTGCCGCCCACTTCCACCAGCACAGCATCCAGCTCGGCTGCAATCTCTGTCATGGCCGGCCGCATGGCGGTCGGCATGGCGGTGCATCGCAGTGCCAGCTGCACCACCCTCAACACCAACTCATCCCGCGCCTCCATGCGCGCGTCCTTTAGCCATGCCACTGCCTCGCTGCCGCCATATTGAGCCAGCTGCTGCTGGACCTGGTGCCACACAAAACAGGATTGCAGATGAAACAACGGAAAGGTATGCGGATAAAGTAGTGAAAAAAGACATGCGGATGAATGAGAGAATGAATAAAGAGCGGAAACGAGGGTTACGACCGTACTCTCTCCATGCCCACAGACTTACCCAAGAAAGAATGTGCAGTTGTTGGCCCGCCTCTTCATCGGAGGGAACAACGAGAGAATTGGTGGCGACATGGCGGCCTGTCATCACCTCAAGCATGACAATGCCAAAGCTGCACACCACGACACCCCGTGGACAGGTGAGGAGAGGAGAGGAGAGGAGAGGAGAGGAGAGGAGAGGAGAGGAGAGGAACGCATGAGAGGTGCCCAACGACAGAAAGAAACCAGCTGGAGAAATACAGGGTTTGATGCTCACCTGTAGACATCAGTGGCAGTGGTGGCCTTATTGGACCAAGCATAAGAGAGATCTACATAGCCTGGTGTTCCCACCATTTTCGTACTCTGCGCTGTGGTGCCCCCTCCCTTCCTTACACACCCGAAATCCGAGATCTTGACCTGCGATCATGCATACAAGAATTCTTAGCTTGCCCTCACACATTAGGGACAACACGCACACACACAGGCCCATGTGTGCATGCCAGTTTAAGAGAGCATGCGGCACAGGATTGGCTGCAACAATCGTAGTGGCGACACAGCCCTGCATGCCTGCAGCACATGCCTGCATGGTCTGATCGAGCAGGATGTTGGCGGGCTTGATGTCGCGATGAACGATGCCGAAGCTGTGGAGATACTCAAAGCCGCGTGCCGCCCCCACCAGCACGTTCACACGCTGCTCAAAGCTCAGGGGCTTCACTACCCCTGCAGGGGATGGGAACGGAGGGGTGGAGAGAGGAGATACTGAGAAGTAGAAAATGAGACCTGTATGAAGAGGCACACCTGCAAGGCCAGATAGGTGGGGGACATTTTGGCAGTGCACGTGTTAGATTGCACACCTTTTCCGATCCATTGCGAGAGGTCCCCGTTGGGCATGAGCTCGTAGATGAGGATTTGCTCCGGCCTTCTCCTGCCAGAGATCCCAAGGGAAAAGCCCAGCAGGCGCACCAGGTTGGGGTGGTGCTTCGTTGCCATCTCACACACCTGCCAGGCATGACAGTGGGCCCCGTACAGCACAGTTCAGTGATCGATCTGACACTGCTGCCTACCAGAATGGCGTGGGTGTGTAATGTGATGTGACACACACCTGGCAGAAACAACGATGAAGCACAGCGCGATACGCGAGAGGGTGTGCAGAAAGAACGGTCATGTGGCACATCCGACAGCCAATGGAACACGCTCGGAGGGGCCATGGCCATGGCCATGTCACGCATCTGGACACTACAGTTACTACAGTTGATGGAAAGAAGACCTCCGCAGCCCACCTGTCCATTACTGACGGATGGGCCACGGCCAAGGCCATGTCATGCATGTGGATACTACAGTTGCGCCAAGTGCACATCACATGACAGGTCACACCACAACACGACAGGACATAACATGGCATGGTATGACATGACATGACATAACATGATAACACATGACATCACATGACATGACATGACATGACATCACAATACGTCACGTCACATCGCGACTTGACCTGGCATGAAATGATGCCACGTCATATTGCATCAGATCACATGACACCACGTCAGTACGCATCGCCTCACATCGCATCGCATCGCATCGCATCGCATCGCATCACATCACATCACATCACATTGTTAGAACTTCAGCTTAGAATCGATAGATGAGTAATGAGCTTGAAGCTCCTTAAGTACATCCGAAATGAGCAAGGTATGGATGGGAAGGGAATCGGGGGCAATCCCTAGGGGATTGAGGGTAATCCCAGGGCAATCTCCAATTGGTAGGTTGGAGATTGCTTGGTGATCACATTTGGGTCTGGTTGGGATGTGGGTGTACATCCAACCAAACACAAAGTGCAAACTACACTAAGATAGGATATAAGTACAAAAGTTGAGATTGGGGGCTAACACACATCACATCACATCACATTGTGTCAAGTCACGTCACGACACGACACTACACGACAAGACACGACACGACACGACACGACACGACACTGCACGACACGACACGACATGACATGACACGACACGACACGACATGACACGACCTGACGTGACATGACGTAACATAGCATGATATCACATCACATGACATCGCATCCCATCGCATAACATCGCATCGCATCACATCACATCACATCGCATCGCATCGCATCGCACCACATCGCATCGCATCACACCACATTACACGAACGCGGACGCATTAGCACCACAACACGCGAGCACCTCGGTGTCAAAGTCGGTGGTGACAATCTTGGCTCGCTTCACAGCCCACAGCGTCGTGCCATCGGTGGGAGAGACGCCGCGGTACACGTCACCAAAGGCCCCCGCGCCCAGCAGGTTGGCCTCAGACCACCCGTTGGTTGCTTTCGCCACCGCCGCCAGTGAATACTCCTGACACACCTGCGATACCGCCTTGCTGCTCATCAGCGCTGCAAGAAGGATCAGAAGTAGAGGAATTGGGAGGCAGCGGATGCGATTAAGAGAATGAAGCCCAAATGATAACCGTGAAAAGTGTGCGCATCCATGTGATGAAGCGAGTGCTGCTGGAATGGCTGAGAGGCCCCATTGGCGCTCAACCAGGTTGCAGAAAGCGCCCTTGAGAGTTTTCAATCAGGCAAAGAGAGCAGGCGAGAAAGTGGTGGCACCGGGAGTGGCAAGGGAGGAGGTGACTGGAAGTGGAGCGGCAATGACAGTGGCGATAAAGAGATCCAGAGAGACGGCAGCCACATGACTCGTCGGTGCTGTGCATGTGCCAGGCAAGCAAGGGCAGGGCAAGGCAGTGTGATGCGGGACGGGAGGGGACGCACGTTTGTGAAAAAAGTAGAGGTAGAGCAGTACAGCGAGCGCTGCAGTGAGAACAGCACCAGCCACGATTGCCGCTATTGCCCACCAAGGAAGTGGCTTGTGCTTGTCACCTGCCAACAGAGCAGAGGACTCGAACAGGTTCAACCGACAAGTGATTGACAAAATTGAATTCAAGGGGCGGTAGGGCAGCTGGGTGCACAGCATGGCAGCTGGGTGCACAGCAGGGCATCTTGGTTTTAAATTGGAAACAGAATCACCCCTCCTCCACCTCCCTTCCTCTCAAGAACGAAACTCACATGTGTTACAGAAGCCAGGGCAGGTGCGGCAGAAGCCAGAGGACGTATCCTGAGGCACACCGCAGCTGCTATAGCTGTCAGGGCACGTGAGGTTGTTGTTATCTTTGGCCCTGAGTATGCCAAGGCAAACAGGGGGCGGAAGACGAAGAGCGGTTGCAGAGAAAGGGGGCATTGTTGTTGAGAATGATAACCTAAGAGATGAGCCTCACCCCTGAAATCGTCTACCTGCACTTGTCTGCTCTGCTCGTCCTTCAATGCAGGGGGCATTGCGCCTGTGGAGACTAGAGGGGAGGGGTGGGTGGGTACAGGCTCATAGAAGATCGTGGCTGAGAAAATGCCAGCCTCTTTCCCTCCCTTCCACTTTCGTTCCGTCATAAGCATGTTCACCAACCGTTCTGTTCTACAGGAAGAGAAAGTGGTTTCGTTTGGCTTGGCCCATCGGACTGTTCTGTGCACTGCCGTCCTTGGCTGTCCGGTGTCCACTGAACTAGTTAGTCGGCTACTATCAGCCTTCAGAGGATGTACCTGTTAGCTAGCTAGCTGCCACTCGACTAGTGGATTAAGTACACTTCTTTTCTTATTACTTACAGAGTTGACAGCTTGTCCAGCTTTCCTAGGGCTGGGGGGATGGTTCCTTCCATATAGTTGGAAGCAACGCTTCTGCTCTCATGCAAGGGCAAGACAGAGGGCCGCAACAAACGAGGGAACGTAGGTGCGAAAGATGAAGGGATCTGCATACAATGGACCTATGCTGCCATGCATGCTCTTGTAGTATAGGCTAACAATGCATTCACATTAGTGGCATGAAATATGGCGGCGCATGTGAGGGGGCATGGAACAGGCATTGGAGATGCAATCGAAGAACGGCAGCGAAATCAGAAGGCAATAGTATTGCACAGTACGTGCGAATATGTGCAGTGTGAGTGAAATCAGAATGCATGTGTGGAGGGAAGAGAAATGATGGACGGAGGTACAAGTGCAGAGGGCTCACTCACAGGCTGACCAGGTTAGTCATGGTGGTGAGAGACTCTGGCAAACTGCCAGTCAGTCTGTTGTTGGAAAGATTCCTGATGGCACACGATGCCATGAGAGGGGGGGGCATGGAGCATTAGAAGGGAGCACGGAGCACTAGAGAGGGGCATGGTGCATTGGAGGGGGGCATGGAGCATCCACCAAAGCACACACACGAATAGCAGGGAGAAATCGCAGCAGCACATACAAGAATCGCAAGGTGGGAAAGGTGATGCTGGGCAGCACTTGGTCTCCGTCAAGCTTGTTGGATGCGAGATCCCTGTTGACTCATGTGCAACAAGCATGCACACACGCACGCACGCACGCACATGCACGCACAAGTGCACGCGCGCGCACACACACACAGAAGAAACGGGCATGGTGATGCAGGCACAAGAGGCACAAGAGGCAGCACATGGCAGAGGCTGGTGAATAAAACCTGACTGGCAGACAAGTGATTGAGCATGATGATGGGGAGAGACCTTCAGCGAGGCATGGCAAGGGGGAGGTGAATGAATTGGGAACATGGCAAGTTGCACATTCGATTCGAATTGAATAGAACGCATGCCCGTGTGCATCGGCAAAGGAAACAGGTCCGTGCAAGCATGATGGGTGCGCCTCGGGGAAAGGACGATGCAGCGGAGTGGGACTGGACTGACAGAGATGTGAGGCCGGTGAGAGTCTTCAGGTAGATCATGTTGTAGGCTTGGATCTGGTTGGAGCTCAGATCCCTGCCATGCCATGTGGTGCAGCAGGCAGGCGTATGTGGGGTTTCTTTCTTCTGTGCTCTCTATGGCACCACAGGCGAAGGATGGCAGTGATTGCTGATTGGGGATGCACCTTGTGAACGTGGACAATGGAATGCTCTGGACTGACATGACATGGCGATGATAATGATGATAATGATGGTGATTATCGCAGCAGCAGAAAGACGCTTCACGTCACGAGTGATGAATACTGATCATGCTTGTGTGTTGCACGCATTTGGGAGCTGTCTGTCAGTAGGACGCATCACCACTGGGAATTAATAAATGATTGAGAGCATGCTTAAAGAGGTTTCATGAAGCTCGAACGCATGCCGCTCCCTCATTCACCTTATGCGATGCATAAGGTTGGCCGATGGTGTGGTGTGGTGCAGGGAAAAGCACACGATGATACACCAAACAACGCGCACACACAAAGTTGAAAGAAAGTCGTACAGTTTCACGAGCCTGGAGAATTTGCTGCTGGTGATGTTTCCCGTGTACCATATGTTGGTTGATGGCAACTCTCTGCACAGGCGGCGTGTGCCGGATTAGTCAGGGATGAGTGGTGAGGAGTGGTGATGAGTGGTGATGAGTAGTACTCAAGTGCAAGCAGGCAGTGAGTGGTGCTGGAGTGCAAAGAGCCACACCACTGACGGGAAGCCGCCAAGGGGAGGAGTGACAAGGAGCAGCGGAAGGGAGACAAGAAGGGGAGCATGCAAACCGATACAGGAGCAGGCACGGGGTTACGGGGACTAATGCCGGAAGGATCTAGGGCTCAGATTAAGGCTTATGGATAATGGGTGGGGGTGGGGAATGGGTGTGAGGAACGGGTATGGAGCTTACAATTCCGAAAGGTTTGTCAACTTAGTAACCCTGTCAAGCTGATAATCTCCAAATCCGCAGTTGCCAAGCCTCCTGTGGTTCATGCAACACAACATGCACACAAAGAGCGATTTATATAAAAGAATGTCACATTAATCATTGTCAAGGGTTCAACCACTTTCCGCATGCAATACCATGCAATGCCAAGCATACCTGTGCCATGCAATGCGACGTTGTGTCATGTCATGGCAACTGTGTTTTCTTCTTGAACGCGTGTGGATGCGGGTGTCTCACTCACTCACTCACTCACTCACACTGCGCAATGGGACACGAGTATGTGCCTACAGCCTCATGAGCCACATGAGATTAACCTGGCCACCCCATTGGGGGGGACCTTGGAGACGCCTCAAAGGTTCTGGGTCCCACTCGCTCACAATGCTAACCATGCTCAATGAGACACCTGCACATGCTTACAGCCTAGTGAGCTGGGTAAGGTCGGCCACCCCATCGGGGATGGTGTCACCATCGTACGGCCAGCAGTCCACTCCCCTGAAAAAAAAAAAAGGAAAAAAAAAAAAGCAAACACAAGGCAAATCATATGCATCAGGCAAAGCAGTCGTCGATCCGCCTTCATTCGGGTTGCACGCAAATTTCGATTCAAAAGCTTTCATTATATGCCTGCCACCACACCAACAAATGGACCCTTCCTAGTTGTAGGTTTGGTCCGTTTGGACTCACAACGACTTGAGCCAGGTGAGCTTATAGAGAGACCCCTGCGGGATATGGCGCACTTGTGCAACCTCCCTGTATGTGTCACATGCGGGAACAGGGAAGTAAGGAAGGTGAGGGGAGATGAGGTGAGGAAGTGGCAGGTTTACTCAAGCGCAGAACCGAGATGGGCTGAGGAATACTGAGCAGGAACCACTCTTAGTCATCCTGATGAGGGATGGTGATGGGGAACGGTAAACGGCGAATCCTGAAGGGAGAATAATAAGTGGTGATTGGTGTTGTGAATGGTGAACGATGATTGGTGTGGTGAATGGTGAATGATGGTTGGTAATTGGTGAATGGTGATGATTGGTGATTGGTGATGGCGAAGAGTGCACGAGCATGCACTTCACACACACACACACACACACACACACACACACACACACACACACACACACACACACGAACACACACACACACAAACACACACACACAACACACACACACAACACACACACACAACACACACACACAACACACACACACAACACACACACACACACAACACACACACACACACACACACACACACACACACACACCACATTTCATCTCAGCATTTTGCGCTGGACTGCATAAGAGCGGCGTGAGAGCGCAGTGCACAAGTGACAGCCCGTGTGCACTGCATGGGCGTACAGCTGGGTGAGGCGCGACAACTGGGTGATGGAGGCGGGTTGGAAGGACGCTGCAGAAGGCGTGTTGATGCGCCTGCGACCAGGTAGGGTGGGCGTTGGAGAGGGGAAGTGGAAGTTTGTATGGGGATGATTGTGCAGGTTCGCGGGTGGGAAGGGTGTCTGTTTGTGTTTTGCGGGATGGGCCAGACTCATGAATGGGCGTCTGGGCGTCACTGCAAAGAGCAATCGGAGCCCTGAACAAAATGAGTGAGGTTTATTTAAGCCAGGAAGGATAGAAACAGGTACTTGCGGTTACCGAGCGGGAATTGCAGGGCTTTGCTAACATGTGATGGAGAGGAAACATAAGGAGGCTGAAACAATTATCGCTGCTAGCAATGTGCATGGCACGGTGCAGTGCAGGACAGAATGGCACAGAACCGCACAGCACAGCACAGCACAGCACAGCATAGCAGGGCGCGGACGCACATGGAGGTGATCATGCCGTTTGAGTCGCATGTGAGGCCTTGTGCTTGTGTGCAGTCGCTCCCCGCCTGCCAGCCCGTGATGTTTGTGGCCCACGACTTCTGCAACTCCTGTAGCACCTCGCCTGCCGCACAGCGACAACAACAGCAGCAGCAACAGCAACAACAACAGCAACAGCGATCGTGCAAACGAAGGGGGAAAGCAGTGAAGGAGGTTTGGCAGTGAGTAGACTGCTGGTGCAGGGCGGTGTAGGTAGGTGGTGGTGGGTGGGTGGGAGTGGCGAAGGGAGGAAAGCAGAAGGACAGGGCTTTGTGCACAAAAAGAAAAGCAAGGACGTGGAAGAATGGGTCTTGGGTAATCATTCAATCAGCAATAATGCCCATCGTCACACCTCCTCACGCACAGAGCGTTTCACGGCTGCCTGGCCAGCCAGGTGGCTCGCTGACTAACTGGCCGGGTGTCGGGCTGGCTCCGGCCACAAGCGAGGCCATGACCCACCGTGCAAGCCGCATCCCCACCGTGCAAGCCGGCTGAGGTGGTCAAAAGTCTGAAGATTGGAGCGTGTGATTGCGCCCAGCGGGGTATGAGGAGAGCGATCAACGGACCTTGCGACCAACGCACCTTGAGAGTCAGCAATGCGTTGTGCGAGCGACGTGCACGGCAGGCAGCAGCATGTGAGCGCCGCAACGAGCGCCAAGAGACCGCGACGGGAGCCGCGAAGCATCCCCATAGCCGACAGGTTAGGCGTCCGGCTGACTGCGACAGGAGCAACGAACAGCAGCACCGCTTGGAGGCCTTTTCAAGAACGTGGCTCCTACCCTTGTTGTTCGGCACCCGACCGCCGGTGATTTAGACCACCAGCCTGCTTATCAGATTTCTGAATCTACCACGACGTGGCAGTCGGACGGCCAAAAAAAGGACGTGGAGCATCTGTTGCGTGTTGCACCGAGCTGAACTCGTCCCGTTGTTATCTCTGCCACGCGGCCTCTCACTTGTGAATTCTCATGAAGGCGCGAAGGGAGAGACGGATGCGGGTTGATCAAGTGCGTATGTGGGGTTGGGTAGCGTGATAACATCAACAAGAGCCTGCAGGCTCGGAATGGTGCGGCGAGTTGACTTCGGTTCGGAATGGTGCTTCGACACGGACGGCACGCGCTATTTCGCCTTGCCTACTAGCGTGCTCGTTCACGGAGACAGGGAGGGGACGGAGAAGGGAGCAACGCAGAGCAGAGCAGAGCAGGAGAAGAAGGTCGTAGCGAGAATGCGGACTATTATGTGACGACGGGAACAAGGCAACGTGTCGTGTCTATAACGGAAGGGCATTCTGATCTCGGCCACTCCACCTGCCGCCATTATATCTCTTCGCGTCGCCTGACCCGCGGAAGATTCCTCCCTAGACTGGAACCGCGCAACCGTGTTTGATAAGCCAGGCCCGAATTGGCGTGTCTAGCGAGCTCGTGTCGGACCCAGCATCCCACCATTATTTCAGCCTTGTGGGACAAGTGTGACATGTTCACCAGCAATTATTGGTCCTGAAATTCTCGATAGAAACACTTGTGCGACGCTCGCATTAGGGCGTGGAGCATTTGGGTTCCTTTTCCGAACGAACGTACCGTTCGGAAACTAACCACTCTGAAACGTATTCAATACGACTAGAACAAAGAGTTTGACAAATGGACCATTCGTTACAAAAATTTCCCATATGTTCCACGCCCTTATGTCTCATGGGAAAAATAAAGGCTCAGAAAATGTGACAGCAATAAAAGTGATACATTAGGGTGTGGTGAATTTTGCTAGAGTGTAAGCCTTCAAAGCTTGAATTGTATTTCCAATGAATTCCAAAACTAGGGTCATGCAATGCACCTCCTGCTTCCACCACACCCTCATGGAGTGGACGGAACGGCCATGCCGTTACAACAGGCTATGACGAGCAATCTCTGCATCCAAATCCACATCTGGCCTCTGCAACTCCACCTCTTCATCCACCTGACGGGCACCGGCATTTCTGTGTGCGCCGCCCAGCGCCACCAGCACGGCCTCCAGCTCGGCTGCAATCACCCCCATGGCCGGCCGCGGGGCACTCTGCTTAGACGTGCATCGCAGAGCCAGCTGCACCACCGTCAACACCAAGTCATCCCGCGCCTCCATGCGCGTTTGCTTCAGCCATGCCACGACCGCCCTGCTGCCGGATTGAGCTAGCTGCTGCTGGACCTGTTGGTGGGGTTCAGCAGCAAAACAGGTTTGTGGGATTGAAACACCACGAGTTGAAGGGTGGAGGAAACGACATGTGGATGCCTGAGAGAAGGAATGAAGCGCGGAAACACGAACACACGCTGGCATTCTCCATTTCCCCACGGACGGACGTACCTAGGGAAGGATGTGCAGCTGCTGACCCGCCTCTTCATCGGAAGGAATGTCAAGACAATTGGTGGTGGCGTGGCGGCCCGTCATGAGCTCAAGAATGAGAATGCCAAAGCTGCACACCACGACACCTCGTGGAGAAATTCAAGGGTGAGGATAAGACACGCCCAACCACAGAAAGGAGCCAGTTGGAGAAATCGAAGGGCCATGGCTCACCTGTAGACATCAGTGGCGGTGGTGGCCTTATTGGTTGCAGCATAAGAGGGATCCACATAGCCCGGTGTTCCCACCACTCGCGTGCTCTGCAGTGTTGTGCCCTCGCCTTTCCTTACAAGCCCAAAGTCTGAGATCTTAGCCTGTTCTCATGGATAGAAGACAATGGATATGGCCAGAAATGGATGCACGGTAAATGCTATAGAAATCTGTTGTCCACCTCTGTGGATGCACTCAAATGTCAAGTACATGAGGGGCACACACAGGCCACCAATGTGCAAATGTGCATGCTCGTTCATAGTAGTGCATTTGGTATGAGTCTAGCTGCACGCCTGCACCGCTTGCCTGCATGTTCCCGTCGAGGAGGATGTTGGCGGGCTTGATGTCACGGTGAAAGATGCCGAAGCTGTGGAGATACTCAAAGCCGCGAGCCGCCCCCATAAGCACGCTCACCCGCCGCTCAAAGCTCAGCGGGGACACTGCCTCTGCGGGGCCCACGGGATAGGAATGGAGGTGTGGAGAGAGGAGACCGTGAGAAGTAGGCAAAGCAGGCAAGGAGGTCTGTATGAAGAGGCATACCTGGACGACCCACTGGGTGTGGGGGCATACCTGGACGACCCACTGGGTGTGGGGGCATACCTGCAGAGCACGTGCGTGCACTGTTAAACTGCACTCCTTTCCCAATCCAATGCATACCTTTTCCAATCCAGTGCGAGAGGTCCCCGTTGGGCATGAGCTCGTAGATGAGGATTTGCTCGACCCTTGTCTTGTCGGTAATCCCGATTGAGACAGCAGCTTCACGAGGTTGGGGTGGTCTTTTGTGGCCATCGCTCTCACCTGCCAGGCAGGCGCAACGGTGGGCTCAATAGGACACAGTTGAATGATATATTTCACGTTGCTGCAAACCTGCCACGTAAAGGTATGGCTCCAACCTGGGGCTCCATCGGTGGTCCTTTGTGGCCATCGCGCACACCTGCCAGGCATGAACATCGGTGGGCCCTGTCATAAAACACCGTAAAGTGATCCATCTGGCACAACACGGCTGCCTACGACAATTGTGTGGTTATCTGTCTCGCACACCTTGCTCAAACAACGGTGAAGCACAGCGTGATACAGAAGAGGGTGCAGAGAGATTCGATCTGGCTCACTCATTAAAGCATGTAACACGCTCGGACAGGCCATGCCTGTGTCAAACTTCTAAATTTCACAGCACAGCGCCAGACACCACAACCCACTGCACCGCACCACACCAAACGTCACGTGTGTTGGAGTAGGCTAGCTTCCGCTTGGTATGTTGTTTCGACCTTAATGCTATTTTTCGGCCAGCTTTAGCCTTTTATTCCACGTTCACTTTAGGTTCATTCTATAGCATGTTTCCTGGACTGAGCACACCCTAGGTTCAATTTGGGTTTCACCCCAACCAACTCAATCTCCTTGTACTCTCACCCTAACTAATGTACCATTTTCACCTTCTTGCCCTCCCTGGCTTAAAAAAAAACCTTAGTTTGACAATGCGTGGACCTGGAAAACCGCCCCTCAGCACAGCAGATCACATACGGCCACAGTCACACGCACCTCAGTGTCAAAGTCGGTGGTGACGGTCCTGGCTCGCTTCACGGCCCACGGCGTGGCCTCATCAGTGGGAGAGACGCCGCGGTACACGTCACCAAACCCTCCCGTGCCCAGCAGGTTGGCCTCAGACCACCCGTTGGTCGCTTTCATCACCGCCTGCAGTGGATATTCCTGACACACCTGCGCTGCCGCCTTGCTGCTCAGCAGCGCTGCAAGAAGGAGCAGAAGTGGGGGGATTGGGAGGTAGTGGATGCGATTAAGAGAATGAAGCACCCTGCCCAGCTCAAGACAGTGAAAATTGTGCGCATCCATGTGGTGAAGCGAAGCGAGAGCTGCTGGAATGGCTGAGAGGCCCCATTGCCGCTCAACCAGGTTGCAGGAAGAGCCCTTGAGAGTTTTCAAAAGGGCAAAGAGCAGGCAAGAAAGTGGTGGCAACGGGAGTGGCAAGGGAGGAGGTGACTGGAAGTGGAGCGGCAATGACAGTGGCAATAAAGAGATCCAGAGAGACGGCAGCCACATGACTCGTCGGTGCTGTGCATGTGCCAGGCAAGCAAGGGCAGGGCAAGGCAGTGTGATGCGGGACGGGATGCACGTTTGTTAGAGAAGTAGAGGTAGAGCACTACAGCGAGCGCCACAATGAGAACAACACCAGCCACGATTGCCACGATAGCCCACCAAGGAAGCGGCTTGCGCTTGTCACCTGCCAACAGAGCAGAGGACTCGAACAGGTTCAACCGACAAGTGATTGACAAGATTGAATACAAGGGGCGGCAGGACACTTGGGTGCACAGCAGGGCAGCTTGGTATAAAATTGGAAACACAATCTCCCCTCCTCCACCTCCCTTCCTCTCAAGAACGAAGCTCACATGTGTTACAGAAGTCAGGGCAGGCACGGCAGAAGCCAGAGGACGTATCCTGAGGCACACCGCAGCTGGTGTAATTGTCAGGGCACTTGAGACTCGTGTCGTTGGTGTCACTGTGTGGGGCAAGGGAAGAGATATATTATTTTCCTCGTGCTCATTTCACTGCTTCAAACCAACAAACTGGCACGCAATAGTGAAGAGATGCAAACACAGATGACAACAGAGGAGCAGCCCACGATTTCAGCACACACTTGCACCGTTGAGAGCACTTACGAAGGTCAACATCATGGCACAATTCTGTACAAGCTGAGAAATGGCAGGTTTCCAATAAAAAGGAACCTAAAAAACTCCTGGTGTGTTTATTTCCTCATATTTTCAGGAAAATATCGGACAGAAATTCCCATCCATGGATTTGTTTTATATCTCCAGTAAAACAAAAAGAGAAAACGCAGGCAAAACCTCCCACCTAGCAGCATTGAGAGCACTACTTACACGGTTGTGAGTTGCCTGAGGCCTCCGAGGGATGGTGGAATGGTTCCTTCAAAGTGGTTGAAACTCATGTTCCTGTGGTGCACAAGAGGCCAAAGCCCAGGGACCAGGGGGACACGGAGAAAGAGAGAGGTGCCTCAAGCCTTGAAATGGCAGCGGGTTGGGACAATCTGAAGCACAGGTGAAGCGGAGGGATGTTCCGCACACGGCGACACGCATGCGCACGTGTACGTTGTGTGACACGAGCAAGACGCGATGCCCGTGCACCGATTTTGATTCCGGGGCGCTAAGAGATGAGCCACGAAAATCTCAAGCCGGGAGAAGATTTCAACGCCAAGGCAAAGAGACGCACACTCAATGCAAAGAGACCATTATTGGACTGACAGGTACGCCAGGGAAGTGATGGCTGTGAGGGATTCGGGGATGGCGCCTGAGAGGCCATTATTGGAGATATTCCTGCGGTGACAAGGGCACGGGAAGAGGCAGACAGAGATGCAGTGGAACGACAGGGATGGATGCTTACAGAGAGTGGAGGAATGAGGCATGGCAGGGGACATGCGGGGATGGGCTTGGAATAGGGGATATAGGGCAGCAGGAAATGAGAGAGGAAGGCAGATGACAGGAAGCAAGAAAGCATTTGCAGAATGATGCACCCGGTAAAGAAAACATGGGGGACAGAACCGGCGAGACATGGCATGTGCTCCTCTCATAAGGGGCGCTCATAGCAACGACTCATGCAATGGCTTGAGTACCAGCAGCACGACCTTGGCCCGCTCCACCAACCTTCCCTGTAGCACAGTCGGACGGACGGACGGACGGACGGACATACAGGAATTTCAAGGCTGGCAGTGGGAGATCCTTCAGGAAGTGACCACCAAAGAGCTGCGTCCCTGACAGATCCCTGTGTTCGCATGCCATCCCGTCCCCCCATGCACAGCAACCAACATGTGGCCAGCAGCAAAGAGCACACGGGAGTGTTGGGAATGGAGGCGCATAAGGCAGTGTGTGAGTGAGGCTGAAGCTGCAAATGTGCATCCAGGAATGCTGAATGTGGGACCAGGCATGCCGAATGTGCCACCAGGCATGCCGAATGTGGGACCACGATCACCATGTGTATGCGTAATCCTCTCCTACCCGCTGAGCCATGCCCAACCACTCACTAGGTTGTAAGGCTCCTGAGCGTGGTAACACCCGCGAGGCTGTCGATCTTCAGTGGGTTTGAGCTCAGATTCCTGCCATGCCGTGCACATGTGAGCAGCGAGCGAGCGGGAGGGCAAGGGGCAAAACACATGTGGCATTCTTTAAGAGCCTGTGCCGTGGAATGGAAGGCAGTGTGTCAGGAAGAGCAAGCGCGGCTGTGGGTAAGCAGGAGTGCCGCCGAGAAAGCCCTTTATGGTGCCATGTAGGCATGGCCAAGTCAGCGTGCGGGTGAGAGTGGATGCGAGTGGATGGGAGCAGATGGGAGCGGATGGGAGTGATCAGGGTCCAGCAGTGGGAGAGCGCAGGCAAAGTGGCACAGGATGGTTGTGGAGGGAGAACAGTGCCGCCTACAGGAGTCTACAGACTCATGCCTCTAGCCATACAGCACAGCATGCAGCCACAGGCATGCCCCACTTGCTGCTGTCTGCATGCACGCAGTATTTCCAAACGGAGAGGAAGTAGAGGAGGGGAATATGGAAGCAGAAAGCAGTACAGATTCTGCAGGTTGGGGTAGTCGATGCTATAAAGAGGTTCGAGTCTTGATATCTGGTTAGAAGGCAGCTCCCTGCATGGGGGGAAGGGGATACGGAGAGTGAGGCAGCAATGGCTCAGCCGCAGCAGCAGCAGCAGCAGGAACAGGAGCAGTAGCAGTAGCAGCAGCAGCAGGAGGCAACGTGGCATGCTGAAGCACATGCGGAGAAGCAGCAGCAAAGGGGGAAGAGAAGAGAGGGCAGAAAGCGGAGCAGCAAAGGCGGAAAAGGGAGGGCGACGGGAAGCAGCAGCAGAGAGAAGGTGCATAGACGGGCCAGTGTGGTGTGGTGCACACTGCCGTGGGTGCATGTGGGGTCCGGAGTGCGTGGGAGGAGTGAGTGTGTAGGGGGAGTGAGTGGGTGCGGGGAGTGAGTGGGAAGAGGGGTGAGTGGGGGGAGTGAGTGGGGAGAGGGGTGAGTAGGGGGGGTGAGTGGGGGGAGGGGTGAGTGGGGTAGTGAGTGGGGGAGTGAGTGGGGGAGTGAGTGGGGGGAGTGAGCGGGGGGAGTGAGTGGGGGGAGTGAGTGGGGGGAGTGAGTGGGGGGAGTGAGCGGGGGAGTGTGCGGGGGGAGTGTGCGGGGGGAGTGTGCGGGGGGAGTGTGCGGGGGGAGTGTGCGGGGGGAGTGTGCGGGGGGAGTGTGCGGGGGGAGTGTGTGGGGGTCTCACAGGTTCACAAGTGCGGACAACTTGACCAGCGACGACAAACCATCCGTGCTGGTGCCAAAGCCACAGTTCTCCAATCGCCTGCACCGAGCACGGCACGATGAACAATACACAGGGAGGCGTGAGTACTTGCGTGAATGCGGCATGAAGATGCAGCACCATGGATGGAGTGCAGTTAGCCAAAAAAGCAAGCAGGCAAGCAGGCAGATCAGATCAAATCAGAGGATACTCAGGCCAGCAAAGGAGCATGCACTGGTCTTTTTAATCGCCCACGTGGGCCTTGCAGGTCCAGGCATATCCCCCACGTGCAGGCATGGGATGGCTTGCACGCCCATGCATGGGATGGCTTGCACGCCCATGCATGAGATGGCTTGCACGCCCATGTATGAGATGGCTTGCACGCCCATGCATGGGATGGCTTGCACGCCCATGCATGGGATGGCTTGCACGCCCATGCATGGGATGGCTTGCACGCCCATGCATGGGATGGCTTGCACGCCCATGCATGAGATGGCTTGCACGCCCATGTATGAGATGGCTTGCACGCCCATGCATGGGATGGCTTGCACGCCCATGCATGAGATGGCTTGCACGCCCATGCATGGGATGGCTTGCACGCCCATGCATGGGATGGCTTGCACGCCCATGCATGAGATGGCTTGCACGTCCATGTATGAGATGGCTTGCACGCCCATGCATGGGATGGCTTGCAAGCCCATGCATGGGATGGCTTGCACGCCCATGCATGGGATGGCTTGCACGCCCATGCATGGGATGGCTTGCACGCCCATGCAGAAGATGGCTTGCACGCCCATGCATGGGATGGCTTGCACGCCCATGCATGAGATGGCTTGCACGCCCATGCATGGGATGGCTTGCACGCCCATGCATGAGATGGCTTGCACGCCCATGCATGAGATGGCTTGCACGCCCATGCATGAGATGGCTTGCACGCCCGTGCATGGCATGGCTTGCACGCCCATGCATGAGATGGCTTGCACGCCCATGCATGGGATGGCTTGCACGCCCATGCATGAGATGGCTTGCACGCCCATGCATGGGATGGCTTGCACGCCCATGCATGGGATGGCTTGCACGCCCATGCATGAGATGGCTTGCACGCCCATGTATGAGATGGCTTGCACGCCCATGCATGGGATGGCTTGCACGCCCATGCATGGGATGGCTTGCACGCCCATGCATGGGATGGCTTGCACGCCCATGCATGGGATGGCTTGCACGCCCATGCAGAAGATGGCTTGCACGCCCATGCATGGGATGGCTTGCACGCCCATGCATGAGATGGCTTGCACGCCCATGCATGGGATGGCTTGCACGCCCATGCATGGGATGGCTTGCACGCCCATGCATGGGATGGCTTGCACGCCCATGCATGGGATGGCTTGCACGCCCATGCATGAGATGGCTTGCACGCCCATGTATGAGATGGCTTGCACGCCCATGCATGGGATGGCTTGCACGCCCATGCATGAGATGGCTTGCACGCCCATGCATGGGATGGCTTGCACGCCCATGCATGGGATGGCTTGCACGCCCATGCATGAGATGGCTTGCACGTCCATGTATGAGATGGCTTGCACGCCCATGCATGGGATGGCTTGCAAGCCCATGCATGGGATGGCTTGCACGCCCATGCATGGGATGGCTTGCACGCCCATGCATGGGATGGCTTGCACGCCCATGCAGAAGATGGCTTGCACGCCCATGCATGGGATGGCTTGCACGCCCATGCATGAGATGGCTTGCACGCCCATGCATGGGATGGCTTGCACGCCCATGCATGAGATGGCTTGCACGCCCATGCATGAGATGGCTTGCACGCCCATGCATGAGATGGCTTGCACGCCCATGCATGGCATGGCTTGCACGCCCATGCATGAGATGGCTTGCACGCCCATGCATGGGATGGCTTGCACGCCCATGCATGAGATGGCTTGCACGCCCATGCATGGGATGGCTTGCACGCCCATGCATGGGATGGCTTGCACGCCCATGCATGAGATGGCTTGCACGCCCATGTATGAGATGGCTTGCACGCCCATGCATGGGATGGCTTGCACGCCCATGCATGGGATGGCTTGCACGCCCATGCATGGGATGGCTTGCACGCCCATGCATGGGATGGCTTGCACGCCCATGCAGAAGATGGCTTGCACGCCCATGCATGGGATGGCTTGCACGCCCATGCATGAGATGGCTTGCACGCCCATGCATGGGATGGCTTACACGCCCATGCATGAGATGGCTTGCACGCCCATGCATGAGATGGCTTGCACGCCCATGCATGAGATGGCTTGCACGCCCATGCATGAGATGGCTTGCACGCCCATGCATGAGATGGCTTGCACGCCCATGCATGGGAAGGCTCACAGTCTAGTTAGCTGAACGAGGTTGGCCAGGCTGAAAGCAAGGGGCACGTTGGGATTACAGTCCACTGACCTGCACACACACACACACACACACACACACACACACACACACACACACACACACACACGCACACACACACGCACCCGCATTGAACCAATAAAATGCGTAAGTGTGATGCTTGCAAGCATGTGTGCTCCAACTCCTAGGCCATCACAAAGAACGAAAGTGTGCAAAGCACAGGAAACGCATGCCCCTGACCGCACATCAGTGCCCCACCCCACAAGCCACTCACAGGGCCTTGAGCTACGTCATGCTGTTCAGTGATTTCGGGTCGGGTAAAGAGCACTGAAATCTCCTGCATGCATGGAGTAAAAAAAGCATTGGTGGTTGACAAGGAGATATGAACACGCGGAGAGGCAATGCTGTTGTTTCAGGTGTTTGCTCGGAGTGCCGTTCCGAGTATCGTTCCAAATGTTGTTGCAAGTGTCGTTCCAATCCAAGTGCAAAACACAAGGCAAGCGTAAACGGAGAGCCTCCATCCAGGTTCGTGGTGGTGTGGGTGGCCTCTGCTGCAGCTCAAAAAGAAGCATTAAGACCTAAGAAACCTAGGCAGCAGTAGTCCGGAAGGCAGTAGGAGTCCGGAAGGCAGTAGGAGTCCGGAAGGCAGTAGGAGTCCGGAAGGCAGTAGATTAAAAGACATTCCAGCGAGCAGCAATTGAAGGGAGAAGATTTAGCTAAGGAGGAAACAGTTGTAGAAAACCTAGCTAATTCACGTAGGGTTCTGCAAAGTCGAATCTCTTCACTAAGCAGTGGCTAAAACACGGACAAACATGTTTCGGCTGTAGGGAAGCCCCTAGCAAGCCTTCATCAGGAAGAAGCACTAGGAATCAGGAAAAGGCACTAGGAGTCAGGAAGAGGCACAAGAACAAGGTCACATGGGTTGTAACCTGACAAAGCGCCCTTGATAGGAGCACAGCACACACACACTTACAGCTCTGTGAGGCTGGTTAGGCACGCGACATCGGTTGTGAGAGAAGACGATGAAGGAAGTTGATCGAACCGCCTGGGCAAAGCGGATAGGGGCAAAGCAGATAGGGGGAGAGCAGATAGGGGGAGAGCAGATAGGGGGAGAGCAGATAGGGGGAGAGCAGATAGGGGGAGAGCAGATAGGGGGAGAGAGCAGATAGGGGGAGAGAGCAGATACGGCAGAGCGCATAGGGGGGGGAAGAAATGAGAAACGGGGTGTGAGGCAAGGGTACACGAAGCACAAGGAGAAAGGGACTTTGATGCTTCTGGGTTTTTTACTTCACACACGGAGGGCCACGCAGCAAAAGAGAGTATCTGCTCACGATGCTAGAGTATCTGTGTGGCCAGAGTATTAGGCACAGCACAGCACAGCACAGCATGGTATAGCAGGGCACGGCACAGCACGGCACGGAGGGGCGTGCACGCACATGGAGGTGATCATGCCGTTTGAATCGCATGTGAGGCCTTGGGGTTGCTGGCAGTCGCTCCCCGCCTGCCAGCCTGGGATGACTGCTTTCCACGTCGTCTGCAAATCCTGCAGCACCTCGCCTGCCGCGCAGTCAGCAACAGCGACCGTGCAAACGAAGGGGGAAAGCGGTGAAGGAGGTTTGGCAGTGCGTAGACTGTTGATGAAGGGCGGTTTAGGTAGGTGGTGGTGGTGAGCCGAAGGGCAGGGTTTGTCCCCAAAAGAAAAGCACGGACTTGGAAGAATGGGTCTAGTGAATCTTCATTCACAGGTCTTTTCATAGCCGCCTGGCCAGCCAGGTGGCTCGCTGGCTGGCTGACAGGCTGACTGACTGGCCGGGTGGCGGGTTGGCTCTGGTACAAGCGTGGCCATCGGCCTCGGCCCACCATGCAAGCCGGCTAAGGTCACCGTGTCGTCAACATTTTAAGGTCGGAGCGTCTGATAGCGCACAGCGGGGTATGAGGTGAGCGACCAGGGCACCTCGCGACCAGCGCACCTTGCGACCAACGCACCTTGCGACCAACGCACCTTGCGACCAACGCACCTTGCGAGTCTGCAATGGGCACTGCGAGCGACGTGGACGGCAGGCAGCAGCATGCGAGCGCCGACGAGCGCCAAGAGACCGCGACGGAGCCGCGATGCACCGCCATAGCCGGCAGGTTGAGGCGTCCGCCTTACTGCGATAGGAGGGACGACTTGGAGCAGCAGGCTTGGCGGTCTTTTCTAGAAAGCCGCTCCAACTCTAGTTCGGCAACCGACGAATCAAAGACCACCGGCCTGCTTGTCGGATTTCTAACACTACCGCCACGTGGCAGTTGGACGGCCTAAAAAGGACGTTGGGAATCTGCCGTGCGTTGCGTTGAGCTAATTCCGTACTGTTATTATCAGGAAGGCGACATCGCGAACTTGGTGGAAGTGGTAAACAAGTTGGAAACGAGTCGTGGGTGTGTAGTTTTCGATTCCTGGCATTTTCCCTGAACTGCGATTGGTTTCCGATACATCTGTCAAGTAGCAATCGACAGGTGCAGCGAAACTCTCCCAAGCCCTTCGAGCTGGTTCGGCATACAATTGATGCCTGTTTGAGCCCCTCCTGGTTGCCTTGTGAAGGGGGCGTATAAGCTGTAACGAGGATTTCGTCTAAGTTTCGTCAGTTCGCAGCTAGCTAAAAAGGATTCGCACGTGCTTATAAACAAGATCTGTTACCTTTTTTGACTTCAGTCTCTTCTGCTTGACCTCGGTCTGTTCGTTACTATTGGTTGATAACCGCGCGACGCGCCTATAACGTGGGAGCAACAAGATGGGGAAACAACCTCGGGTGCAGCGTTTCCATCCGGCGCAAGACAAATTCGCATGCACTGGCTGGGCATCAATTGTATTTGGGCGAACACGCGCAGGACAACTGGCGCGTGAACATTTGTCACATCTTTCTACCTATTGGTTGTCGGGTCATCCTGATTCAGTCCAAGACGTACTCAATTAAAGGAGGAAACGTGAATTCAATCTGAACGACAGTGGTACTAAAAAATCTAATCGATTATTTAAAATTTAATTCGTGATTTTAATGTCAAACATTGTATATGTTTCTGTTTTGTAGGCTACAATGGGTTAGCCTGTAGGGTGTACATTTGTCTAGGGTTTCATACTTGTACTCCCAAATGTTTCTAGTTGATCACTTCTTGTTTCTGAGATGGTATTAAAAGCTTAGGTTCTAGACCTAGGACCACTTACCTAAGGGCCCACCGCTAGAAGCGCCTTCGAGCGCCGTATCGAGTTAGTGCCCTCAAGCGCCTCTCTCCTAGTGCGCCCTCGTGCGCCTCTCCTTCTCCTGCTGCCCGTGCGCAGCTCGGTAGTGCCGCGCGCGGCCTTTTTTTTAGCGCACGAGCCCGCTAGCAGCCCGCGCGCAGCCTTTTCTGCGCGCGCGCCGGCTGTTAGCCGCCCGCGCGACTAGCGCCGCCACGAGCAGCCCGCTAGCCGCCCGTCGACCAGCCCTCCTGGCCGTCCAGAGCGCCGCAGCCCCGCTCGTAGGCCGCCGCGTCGCCCTCGTAAGCCGCCGCCCACGCGCGAGTGCAGCCCACGCACAGCCACGGACCGCCCGCTACAGCCACCCACGCGCAGGCCCACCGTCGCGCCGTGCCGTGTAGCCTAGTCCGAGCCGCGCCGCGCCGCCCTGCTCGAGCCGCGCCGCCCGAGTCGCGCCGCCCGAGTCGCGCCGCCCTGACCGAGCCGCGCCGCCCCACGTGCAGCAACCACTGCTCCTGTTCCTGCTACTACTGCTACTGCTACTGCTGCTACTGCTGCTACTGCTACTGCTACTACTGCTACTGCTACTGCTTCTGCTGCTACTGCTACTGCTATTGCTACTGCCACTATGGCGAGTCCCACTGTTCTCACTTTTGACGCTGAGGGCCAGCCGATTAAGTTTGATGTCTGGCTCGATGACCTACACCTGTTCCTCCAGATCACTGCCAAGGACGATGTTTCCCTATATGATCACACGTCCGGCGCTACCCCCGCACCTGCTGCTACTGCTGACAGTACTGCTCGCTTACTGTGGCAGACCCGTGACGCCCATGCTCGCCTACTGTTAGATGAGCGCGAGCACTTCGGCCCGCATAAGACCGCTAAGGAGCTATACGATGCTGTAGTACACGCTACTCCTCCCCTGCTACTACTGCGATAGGCCGTCTCTCACTGCCCTATCTCTTCCCGGATCTGTCTGCCTTTGCCACTGTAGCTGACCTCATCACTCGCCTCCGTACTAGTGATCTCCGCTACCGTGCCGCGCTCCCCCCCGATTTCATAGCCAAGAACCCCCTGTCAAACATTATATATGTTATGCTTGTGTAGGCTACAGTGGGTTAGCCTATAGGGGGTACACAATTCTAGGGTTTCCTACTTGTACTCATTTCACTTCTAGTTCATTCATTCCTGTTCGCTTATTGTCACATGGTATAGAGCGGGTCCTTCTACGGACCGTTTTTTTTGGGCCCACCGAAGCGCCCCCCGAGGCGCGATCTTTTTTTTAGCGACCCCTCGGGTCGCCATTTCCCCTGCGGCCCCGCCGCCTTCACTGACGCGGCCCCGCCGCCCTCTCTGTCGCGGCCCCGCCGCCTGCTCTCACGCGGCCCCGCCCCGGCTCCTTCGCGGCCCCGCCGCCTGCTCTCGCGCGGCCCCGCCCCGGCTTCTACGCGGCCCCGCCCCGGCTTTTACGCGGCCCCGCCGACGGCTTTGTCGCGGCCCCGCCCAGGCCCTTACGCGGCTCCGCCGCCTGCTCTCACGCGGCCCCGCCCCGGCTCCTTCGCGGCCCCGCCGCCTGCTCTCGCGCGGCCCCGCCCCGGCTTCTACGCGGCCCCGCCCCGGCTTTCACGCGGCCCCGCCGACGGCTTTGTCGCGGCCCCGCCCAGGCCCTTACGCGGCTCCGCCGCCTGCTCTCACGCGGCCCCGCCCCGGCTCCTTCGCGGCCCCGCCGCCTGCTCTCGCGCGGCCCCGCCCCGGCTTCTACGCGGCCCCGCCCCGGCTTTCACGCGGCCCCGCCGACGGCTCTGTCGCGGCCCCGCCCAGGCCCTTACGCGGCCCCGCCGCCTGCCCCCGTCGCGGCCCGGTCACCTCCTGACGGCCCCGCCGTCCCTTCCTGACGGCCCCGCCGTCCCCTCCTGACGGCTCCTGCCGTCCCCTTCTACCGGCCCCGCAACTGCACCTGCTGGCCCCGCCGCTGCACCTACCGGCCCCCCACCACCCACCCCCCCTTTTCCCGTCGCCTGTCGAGGCGACCTGAGGGGGCCGCTTGCGGGGTGGCAGGTGTGTGGCCTCCCCTGCTTCTCCTCCTCCTTCATCTCCCCTGCAGCAGCCGAGCCGCCCCACAGCCGAGCCGCCCTGCCGCCGAGCCGCCGGGTCGCTGAGCTGCTGAGCTGCAGTTGCTGCTGAGCCGCCCTGCCGCCGAGCCGCCGAGTCACCGAGCTACTGAGCTGCAGTTGCTGCTGAGCCGCCTTGCCGCCGAGCCGCCCGAGTCGCCCGAGCCGCCGAGCCGCCGAGCTGCCGAGCCGCTGAGTCGCCGAACCTACTCTTCCCACCACTGGTGAGCTCTTGCCCTGCTAGCACGCTGCGCGTCGCCTGCTTGCCTGCCTGCCTGCCTTTTGGCTTGCCTGGCTGCCTGCCTCCCTGCTGCTAGTCCTGCTCCTGCTTCTACTTGCGGAGCCAAATGCAGCCCCAGCGACGCCGGCGTGAGTCCCTCACGCCGCAGCAGCTGCGTGAGTGATACGCTGGTTGGGGCTGTAGGGGTGGCGACGCTACTCCTACTACCACTCCTGCTGCTTCTACTCGTGGTGGCGGCCAGATGCAGCTCCCGCGACCCTCTCGCGTGTCTCTCACGCCTCGCCAGCTTCGTGAGTGGTACGCTCAGAGTGGAGGGTCTCTTAGTGCTGTTCGCTGCTCTTACGTGATTCGCACTGGTACTCGGACTGGTCAGCCTTGTGGGACCCGTAGTCATACACCGTCCCGCTGCTTCGCCCGTCTGAGCGACGCCTGGCGTACCGTGTTTGGCGACGAGGCTGAGCTTCCCGACTGGGTGGAGTTGCTTAGGCAGAGGGTAGATATATATGCTCTTGACTATGATGCTATTCTCACTGCCATGTATGCATTGCCTACTAGTGCTGACCGTGCAGGTCACCTGTGCGTCCCGCCTGACCCAGGTATAGGACCTGCTGCTCTAGCTACTGGTGAGGCTGCTGCTCTGGGTGCTAGTGAGTCTCCTGCTCCCGGTACAGGTGCGGCTGCTGCTCTAGGTGCTAGTGAGTCTGCTTCCTCAGGTGCGGGTGAGGCTGCGCTCTCAGGTACCGCGTTGGCTTCGGCCTCCCTCACCTTTACACTTGACTCTGGGGCTTCTCGCTCCTTCTTTCGGGACCGCACCACACTCACGCCGCTTGGTCGGCCGGTTGCAGTCTCCCTGGCTGACCCCTCTGGGGGTCCTGTCCTCGCTCACTTCTCCACTGTCCTCCCGTGTCCGGCTGCCCCCTCGGGCACCCTGTCTGGCCTGTACCTCCCCTCGTTCTCGACGAACTTGGTGAGTGGTGCAGACCTACAGGATGCGGGGGTTCACCAGTTCACTCCTGCGAGTCAGCGGGTGACCCACTGCACAGACGCACACACAGGCCGGCACCTGGCCACGTTCTCGCGCCGGCCGGGGTCGAGCCTCTACACCCTGACCACTGAGTCTCCTCCTGTCCCCGCGTCCGGTCAGGTAGCAGCGTCGGGTCAGGTGTTTGCTGCTGCGTCCAGGTCTGGTCCTGAGTCTGCCCCCTGTTCGTGTCGCCTCCTGTCTCACGAGCCTGGGGGTGTTGACTCTGGGGGTGCTGTGCGCGGGGGTGCTGAGCCTGGGGGTGCTACTGCTGGGGGTACTGGGCCTGCGGGTGCTACTGCGGAGAGTGCGGAGCCTGGGGGTGCTGAGCAGGGGGGTGCTGTGCCTGGAGGTGATGGGTCTGGGGGTGCTGGGTCGGGAGCTGCTGAGCCTGGGGGTGCTGCGTCTGGAGCTGCTGAGCCTGGGGTTTCTCCTGCTGCTGCGTCTTGCCGGGAGCCCCTCTCTCCACAGGAGCTGCGCGAGTGGTACGCTCGCCGCTGGAGGCGTGCTGCTGAGTCTGGAGGTGCTGCTGGAGCT